GTAAAACATCAGTTGCCATTCCGTTAGTGCTTGAAATCCAGAGTAGAATTAAGCAACTTAGATTTATCTCTTGTCAGTTGTTTCTGCAGCATGAAGACAGAGCCAGTGAGCGAATCATTCACTGAATATTCATACAGCATGCATCATTGCTTTGAAGAAAACAAGACTCACATTCAGCATTTGATAAGCAACTACATGAATCTGTCTTCTGTCATACAGTATATCTTACCATTGATTCCCTTTAACACATTTCACTTCTCAAGCTGTAATGCTATAATGGGATGGAAAGTATCATGATAATAACAGGGTGGCAAAGTCTGGCTACAGCAAATGAGGATGAGCCCAAATGCAGCAGTCACAGATACAGAAAAGAAGGAAAAGAGCTGCTTACAACTTGAAGGCCTCAGGTAGGCAGGGATCTCTGGCAAGAGAAACCCTCATCTCCACTGCCAACCCTTAAAGGAGGTCTGGGAAGAGGCGGATCCTGGCTCCAGCCCTTCCAGTCACTCAGGTGCATTGCTTGCACCTGAGCTCCCCTTTCCCATCAGGTGCTCCATCACTGCTTCAGGCTGTGACTCAGCACTTCCACTACACAAGCCTAGTTCCAGACTTTATTGAAAGAAACTCAGGCCTGCTGATCTGTTCTCTCCAAATTCACATCTGCTTCAGGAAACCATCGCCAACTTAGCACTACATCTTTTGGTGACATGTGAAGATTCATCTTACAATTAATAGTTCACACTTCTGTCATTTTACACCTCCAGCAGTCACATCCATTACTTCCAGTCCAAGCATGATGTCCACCACATACTGTCTTGTCACCATTCGGTTTCATGTTAATTCTTCTCTCTAAACTAGGAAGAGCTGCATTTTCAGCAGTATTTGGCCCTCAACTTTGATCCTCACTTATGTCAGAGTTCAGCTAGATATTTCAGTTAAACAGAGGAGCATACATTTTATGTGGATATAATACAAAATAAATATATATTTTATATACTAACAGCTCCCCATTATCTTGTAGATCATTCAGCAGAAAATCAAATTTTTACTGTCCACTTTAATGGTCTGAGCAAAACCAATAAGACTAATTTTGAAGAGCATCTTCATTATCTCTTGTATACTTTGAAACATAAGTATAGGAAGCTTTAAGAAAATATTCATTTGTCCATCTGTGCACTTTCCAGTTCTCTGTATAGGAATATGTTACTGGTCCTGTACAGAATGTACTCTGCTTTACTGGCAGGAAAAAAACAAACAAACAAACCCTTAAGAAACAAAGAAAGAAAGAAAACAAAACAAATAAAAAATCATACAGAGCGTCAGAATAATTTTATTTTTAATCAGTTACTACTTGGAACTTTTGACAGTGACTCTTAGAAATTGAATCTCTTCCCTGATGAGTTTCATTCAGAATATGTTACAACTATAAAGGCAGCAAACTACTCTCAGTTCAGTACACATAAGGAACTATTTAGTAAATAAACTGCCTCACAATTTTTAAAGGTGATCAAAGTGAATTTTAAAATCCAGGTTGTTTAAAATCCAGTATAGTCCTTTAAAGAACAAGACTGTAACTTGGCAGACACACAGTATAAACAAAATCCACAAACTGAACTATACTGATAACAATGCTGTTAAGATTAACTTTTCTTTCAGAAAAGAATTACCTTTTTAATTTAACTTCTTTGTTCTCTACATCAGTGGATTGCCAAATAAGAGCAGAGTACTATTGGGAAGTAGCACTTTGGGATTATAGTAAATAAGTTCCATGAGATAGAGTGATAAAAACCAAGTAATTACAGTGTTACAAGGTCACAGAAGACTTGCAAGAAAAACAATGTGTTAAAAAAATACAGGCAGAGGCATCTAGCTATGAAAGTACTCTTATATCGTTGCTTCAGTGTGCATCCATTTAAAAATCAAAAGAAATAGGAAACACTGTGCTGCATGAAGGGCTCTCAGGAAAGAATTCAAGCCATCACAGTTTATCAGATGCATCTCATCACGTCAGAGCCGGTGAGTCCAGAGGAGGGTGGCAAAAATGATCCAAGGGATGGAAAACCTCCCCTGCGAGGACAGGCTGAGAGAGCTGGGGCTGTTCAGCCTGCAGAAGACACAGCTCTGGGGAGACATGAGAGCGGCCTTTCAATATCTAAAGGGAGAAAATATGAAGGAAGGGGACAGATTCTTTATCAGGAACTTTTGTGACAGGACAGTGGAAATGGCTTCAAACTAATAGGGGGGAGATTTAGATAAGTTTGTTTTTGTTTTTGTTTTTTTAATGATAAGGGTGGTGAGGCACTGGGACAGGTTGCTCAGAGATGTGGTGAAAGCCCTGTCTTCGGAGATGTTCAAGGTCAGGCTGGACAGGGCTCTGAGCACCTGATCTAGTTGTGGATGCCTCTGTTCATTGCAGGGAGCTGGACTAGATGGCCTTTATGGGTCCCTTCTAACTCAAAAGATTCTGTGACTTCTTGCCCATCTACTGAACTCTGGTAACTGGTACCTCCAAGGTCAGCATCACTAGCTAAACTTTATTTGGGAGCTTATGAGAATTTGAAGATTATATCATAAGTTGAGTTTACTGAACTCCGAGTATAAGGGAACAAATAGAGATTATAAACATCTCCACAGATTTGCACAATGAAATCTTGCTAATACACAAGCAATTTTTAAAATCCTTCTCTAGTACCATAGGTTGTGTTTTTTTACATTACTATTCCTACACTAGTAGTTAGCTCTGAAAAATGCAGAAAAGCCTTGCCTGGGATAGTTTGTTGGATTATAATGTTTGTATCTGTACTATATTATCACAGAACATATTTCCTTCTGCATAATTTCTCTGCTTTGATAAGCAGTAAATCCTCTGAAGCATCTAAAGCCACACAGAGGTTCTGCATTACCTATGCGAGCCATTAGTTTTCCTAATCTTTCCAGGTCAAGGCCCTCATTTGTTTGAGATGAAAGACAATTCAAAACATTTCTCCTCCCTATCTCTAGTGAAGTGAACTAAGTTTATGAATAGTCTAATAAGAGTGAGAACAGTATCTAGGGATGAGGGCTTTAAGGTTTTGTTGTTTTGTTTTGTTAAAAAGAGAGGGCTGGGAAACAAAGCAAACTGGAAATAAGTGACAAATGAGAGCTAAAGCAAAGCTGCAAGGAGTAAAAAAGCAAAAACAAAAATAAAAAAAAATAGAGTAGATCACCTCCTTGAGTTTGTTGTTTTTTTTTCCATTTTCTCTACTTTTGCACTCACAACATCATCTCCTCTGCTTTCCTACTTTGTACTCACGGCTTCCACTTACTCTCTTCCACCTGTTCTCTTTACATCTTCCACTCATACACACTTCACCACAGTGAGACACACTGTAATGCCTTGAGCCTGCACAGACAATCTAGAGCAGCAGACACTCAGTGTAACAAAAACATGATAGAGGAAAGGGTAGACAAAAGCCAGAGACCACTCTTTCGCCCTGCTTTGGATCTCCCTCAACATACAGACTGGACAAGAATTGATCCAAGAACCCAGGATGCTCTATTTATGCCTTTCCCACTTTCTTGATTTCCTTGCTTCCAGAATAATCCTAATACAGGTAAGGTAGCTGGAGTGACAAATATGGCAGCAGCAACGTCCTCTGCAATCATTCCTTCAAATCCTTTCTGAGGCAGAAGATAAAAGCTTCAAGGGAATGATGCTCCCAGCCCAATTCCTACCATGCTTTAGCCAAACAAGAGACTAATGAGATTAATCAGTTCCTGCCTCCTCCTTTTAATTTGATGTTTCCCATAGGGCAGAGTCTTAGATGTACGACAGATAAATGCTATTTTGTCAAGCCTCTAGATTATTACCTGGCATGACAAATAAAGCATTTAAGATTGGGGAAGGGATGCTATTGCTAGTTTGAGAGTTACAGGCATGTCACGTATGTCAACAACAGATGCAAACATTAGCTATTTATGGCAAGATTAGTCTTGAGCTCAGCTAAAGTCTCATTTCTGGGGCCTTGACATCATTTTTCTCTTTCCCATGTTCATACTTGTCCAAGCTTGTTCAGGTTTATCCTTATTTGACCTTTCCCTCTTCTGGTATTATAGGTTCTCCTTCAAGCATTTCTCCATTAGGAAAATGCAATGAAGTTTGCCGAGCAGATCCAAGTCAAAGTCAGGAACACAAGCAAAGCATATCAGTATATCTGGAAGGCTGAGATTCAGCCTTCTTCACTTCCCCAAACTATTCCCTCCAGATTTCCATACGACTTTCAGAACGAAGCTCTTCACGCACCTGCTCACATATTGCTACTCCCTGTTTAAAAAAAAAAAGAAAAGAACAGAAAAGTCAGGCAGAAAAAACACCCCTCTTCCTATCGAACCCCTGCAATTGAAGATCACCATAAAGACTACGGAAACACCACGCGTCGCGCATGCAAAAGCACACGCTGCGCTCCACCCGCAGGCGGTCAGATCCACCAGGCTGCCACTTGAACATCTCGCACCGCTCCACGCAAAAGCAGACCCACGTCGGCACCTACAAGCATACGGTCAACTTATCACCCTCACAGGTGCAGAGAGGGAGATGTTTTTCATCTGATCAGCGTGAAAGCACGAGCGGCGAGCCCTCGGACGGGGATCACTTGTCATCGCACGCACTGCCCCTCTCCTTTCTCGTCTCCCAGCTGCTCCGCTCGGGGCTGCGGCTACGGCCGCCTGTCGGCACTGACAGCATTTCCAAGCTCCGTGTCAGCCCAACAGTTTCTTCACTGGACCGCCGCCGCGGCTCTAGTTTCAAAACTTCTCTCCCCTCGAGAATAAACACCGCAGGACCTCTATTTAAAAACCTTTTCAAACGTCACGGAGCCCTTAACACCATTAAAAACACACCTCAAAAGAGAAGCGGCAAGCACTGCAACCCCATCCGCGGCAGCGCTCCTGGAATATTTCCCGATAAAAACCAGACGAACCGCCCTAGAAAGCGTCGGCAGCCCCCGCCCCGCCGAACTCACCTCCAGCCGCCGCCTCACCACCGAACCCACGCCGTCAGCGCCCGCAGCTGCAGCCCGCCCAGCAAGCGGCGCCCGCCCGCGGAACCGACCTGCGCGGCCGCGCAGCTGGAGCTCGCGCCCCGCTCTCTTCACGAGCACGAGGAGCGCGGCACCGCGATAACTTTCCCGGCCATGTTCCCGCCCAGACGGGTCGCCCGTTGAGGCGCCTACAGGGCTTTATGACAGCACGCGTTTGCTGGGCATCTCTGCTTAAATCGGCTTTACAAGGAGCCGACTGGGCAACGGTAGGCGTTTAGCAGAAAGCGAGATAAAGGTTGTCGAGCGCTCGTAATTAAAACACGCACCTTTTGCTCTTTGTGGAGCGCTTTGCATTTCAGCTGGCCGCTTGCAGCCTTGCCTCTGTGATAACTGTTTGCTTCCAGCTAGATAGCCTAAGCTTATTTAACACACCTGACGTTTTAATGTGATTATGTTACCTCCAGTGATTATACCCAATTTCATGTAGAAACACTTACACAGCACTGTAGGGGTAGGAAGACATGACCTATTCCAATCCCCCTACCAAAGCAGCCTCTCTACACTAGGTTTCATAGGAAAGCATTCAGGTCTTCAGTATCTCCAGAGAAAAAGCCCACAACCTTTTCCCCTTTCCCCCTGGGCCCTGTGAAGAGCTGCATACGATCTCAGTTTTTTCTTTAAGCTTATGCATAAGGTCGAGACTTTGAGTCATGGAACAGATTTTCCTGGTAAAGAACTGGATCTCAGTGTCAAAGCAAACATGCCCAAAAGTGGGGGAGAGAGAAAACAGGACACAGAAATGCTTTTCAAACATCTCTGAACATGCTAAAGAATAATTAAAATTGGCAAGAATCCAGAGGCTGGATTTGGCTTGCGTTTGAATTTTTCTTTGTCTACCTCTCAGTTTTGAGGTAATCGTATTAAATAGGTCATATGGTGTGGTCAACTTTATAATGTTTGATAGCACGTATCTTTCACAATGTGGATAGCAAAAACTATTACTATAGCACTGCTTGTTGCAGTATTGTTTCACTGTCAGTGGAGTTTGGATCCTCCTGGGCAAAGCTCAGGAATTTTTTCAACACCATTTTTTCTTTTCCCCAGCTAGCCTTGCTGACTATTTAAGGGTGTGCCCAGGTGACTTTCCACACGATGAAAGCACCAGCTGGGAACTCACCCCTTTATGGCTATGTAGCTTTGTTACCTCCTCTCTTGTTCACAGCTGAGCTGGAATTGTTGATGCCCTGCTGGCACATGCCCAGAGCATGGCCCAGCCTGAGTTTTGTGAAGGGACAGGACTTGGAACAGAGGCTGTGCAATGATTGCCACTCACTTGGGTAGCAGTGAAGGGTAGAAGCACGGAGTTTGAGTGGCACAAAGTGCAAAATACAAAATGGCATCCTGCCATCGCTGCAGAATTCACTTGTTATCATTTTACATCATTATCTATGATGTATGGGTTGCTCATACTTACATAACATACCGTTGGAGAGAATCCAAATTTTGGGCTAACTTTAGCGTGTTGTTTCCTGTCTATCCTAAGTTGTGTTGAATGCCATTTTCACAGAAGTGGGTTAATTCTATGTCTCTCTCTCACTGTAGCAGTTTGCAGAAGCCCTACCTCAGCTGTCCTGGCCTATTACCAGGCTAATTACCATTCCATAAGTCCCTCTTTCAGTAAGAGTGGTTTCTTTCTGCAGTAGTGCAGACATATTACTGTCACAAAGCTAGCACTGTGTTAAGTCTTTGCATCTCATATTTAACAATGAAGCTTATTCAGAGAGAGCAGAATCATCCTCCTCAAAAAAGACCTATGAAAAAAACAAGTAGGGAACCCGGAAGAGAACACTGCTGGATACAGCTCTAAGGACTGTTTTCATTTCTTCCATGTTTGGAATCAGTGGAGAGATGTCTGTCAGCTCCCAGATGTTGCTCTTTAACAATTTGTCTCACCAATATATAATTACCATTGTGCTGTAGTCCAGATTGCTGTTATGTTTGCTGAAATGTTTTTGTAAATATTAAAATTACGGTTTATTAAAGAAAGTAATTATCTTCAAGAAATGTAGTTGAAACTCAGTCCCAACAATTCTATTTTTTTTAACCAACTTACTTAAGAGTGCTTCCAAGGATGTCCTTCTTTAGATTTTTTTTTTCTTTTTTTCTCAGAAGATAATTAAAATAATGGTTAGCCACAGTGTAATTTCAATTATTTCCCCAAATCACAGCAGTCATTCACAGGCTGTTTTAATCTTGATGTTTCATATAAGACATGAAGTGTAAATATCAAGATGCAGGACTGAAAACTACACGCACAGTGTAACTTCTTGTCTCTGAAAAAAGAACCAGTTTTAAATATTCAGAGGTTTCCTTTCATGTAAATGTGGTTAAATAATCTGTAGACTGGAAATCGTGGAGTAGATAATCCTTCCCCATTGACTCCATACAGCTAATCCATAATGTTTCATTAGAAAGCTTACCCTGCCTTATCTTTAAGAGAGATTTGTTGCCAGGTATGTTACCAATTTTCTCTGCACAGGTGGAAAGCATTCTCGCACTCTTTGAAATGTTTTTAAACTTATGTCCATTGAAAATCAGTAAGATTTGCTGCTTTTTTTTTTTTTCTTTTCTGTTTTCCTGGCATTATTTAGTAGACTTAAGGTGAAATATTCTACATGGGAGTTTAAATAAAAATAGTTTGTCTCTGCATACAATTAATCTTGAGATCTTACTGGACAGGTAGAGATATTTGTATCTAACACCAAACTTACTATTTTTTCCCCTCTATTTAGAACACCATCATCTTTTCAGATATCTTGTGTTAGAGCAGATGAAATACACTAATTTTGATTGCTTTGCATAAAGTTTTTCTAGAGAATACTAAAGATGTTTTTCCAGTCTTCTGTTTATATTCCAGAAATCTTAAATGGGCAGTTCACAAAATGCTTCTAGAAATATACCATTACTTTTATTCAGCATTTTAAAACACATTTAAAAGAGCCATTGATCTGGCTGCTAGAATTTAATTAGTTGGGATTTTATGTCAGGCAGCTGTAACTACCTCAGTTTTGCCAGTGGCGTTACAAGGTCCTAGCTCCACCTAGCGTTCATCTTTTAGAAGAGGTATGAACGATCTCGAGAAAGTGCTCAGAACGAGCAATTCTTGTTTGCCAGGCCAGTCTATACGTTTTGTAGCTATTTAAGGGTTGGCAATCCTACCGTAGTACATGAAAGTCCAATGGAGGGCAGGTGCAGCCTTTTCAGGCAGGCACGGCTGTTCAAAACATCTGCCTCCAAGTTCATTCTCACCATCAGGCAAAGGCCTTCTTAATATAGATTGGAAAATGAAACTTTTACTGTAAGCTACTCTGAGCTCACGCATAGAGAATACGCTACCGCATAAACTGTTATTCCGTTTTCTGCACTGAGGTCATTTGGAGTCATGGGACTCACTTCAGTCAAACTGAACTCTGAATGCTGTGGGATTTGGTGTTTGTCCAGATCTGTTTGAAATTTTTTGCACGGTAGAAAAAAATACATGCTAGAAAGTAATTTCAATATCAAGACATTATTAAGTGGTTTCTTTAGCATGAAGATATCCAGTGTTCTATTAAGCACTGGCAAATGTTTCCAGCTAGCATTTAGGCTTGAGTCAAGTAAGATATATCTTCTGTGAGTATTTATAAGTTTTCTTTAATCCTCTAGCTTCAAACATAGGGGAGCCCATAACAACAGGATAATTCTAAGTTTGCCTTACCCGCATATTTTGAGGTGGAAGGAAAGGGTCTGTTTCCAGACTCTTTTTCCAGACAGCGCTCTTGATCACTTCTGACTTTGATGGTTGTTACCACGCAGTTCTTCTTTTCATTGTCATACAGAATGCAGAAGCTATCACTTCCTCTTTCTTTTAGAGAAAATCCTCAAACACCTACTGTATATTTCATTTGGTATCACAATTAATTTAACCTGATATAATGAAATATCTTTTACCTAGCTGCGAGAGCAAAGCACGATGTGAAACTTGTTGCAGCTCCCAGGCAGTAAAGATTAGCTTAAACGGCTTTCATCTGACCTCTGCTTTTGCAAGAGCAGGCAAGGTCAGTTCGTGTGATTGAGCTGAGGTGCAACAACTCAGTCACATGCCTGAGCTCTCAGATTGTTTACTGTTCAGCTTTCTTTTGTTAGTATTTTCTGATGTTTGCTAAAATATGTCTCCACAGAGTAAAGAAACAATACTTTCTATGGAAATTTAAAGATCAGGCAATATGTCAGTCAGGTATAATGAAGTCTTTGCCTTAAAATTATCTTGAAGTTCAGCCTACTAGCAATCACTAAAATCTACCACAGGAGATCTCCAACAAGCCCACAACCAAATTATCACCAATGGAAAGGTAGTAGGTCTCTTGTTACAATCGTTGCCTTGGATCCAGTAGTTGATAACCTGCATGTGTGTGCCTTAGCATAAGTAGCTTGGAAGTTTTAAGTGATTGGCTGTGACTGATATTTAAAAGGAAATCCTAGATTTTCAGATTCCATGGGGGCTTGTAACCTGTAACATACAAAATGTACATTTCCTGTTGTAGTGGAAATGCTAAGTCATGGCCTGAACCAGTGATGGAGCACCTGGTGGGAAGGCAGGGCCAATCCAGGAGAGCTCAGCTGCATGCAGTGCATTTGAGTGACTGGAAGGGCTGGAGCCAAGATCCACCCCTTCCCAGACCTCCCTTAAAGGTTGGCAGTGGAGATAAGGGTATCTTGCTTCAGATCTTTGTATACGTGAGGTCTCCTGAATGCTAGTGGCGTCTGTCCTTTATTTGTGTTCCTAGGCAATCCTTACTTGCTGGTTTTCTGAAATTGAAACTAGCACATAAAGTATATATTTTTCTCTCTATCAGACTGCAGAACTTCAGCAGTTCATATGTTTTTTTTTAAAGCTAACGTGTCTTTACTATGTTTGTTCTGTCTTTAAGCAGTAAACACTTATCGATAAGTGTCTACCTACATCTTGGTCACCATACTTTGAATAGCTTTTTGGAAATAAAAGGAAAAATCTGTGAACTCTTTATATTT